CCCCCCCCGGCGCTTCTATCGTGCTGTTGCATCTATTTTAAGCAAAGGTCCCAACCCTTACAACTCTGACAAAATTCCAGTCACCTGGGAAAAAAAAAAAATGCAATGCTTTGCCTCATACAAGTGAAAAGCAATGTATGGCGGGGAATAGAACATTGTCAACAATAGGTGGGAATCTCATATGATGGGGTCTCTTACTAAATTCCCTAAAATCAAATGACATTACTAGTTACACCTTGTAATATAAAAATTAAATTTTCTCTGTAATTTTTCTTAAGCCTCCTTCGCATCACCACACACCTACAGCCAACTTTTTTTCTTTAAATTTCTTTTGTCAACTTACTTTTATCATTTCAAATTAAAAAACAAAATGAAAAATAAGAAAATAATTTATACTATTGGAACTTTTTTTGTTGTTGATATTTTCATAGTGTCAAATTCAAGGAAGTACAAAGAAAAAAGAAAGATTTTGAAAAAATTAACACAACATAATTTTTAATATACCTTAGAACATGGAACAGGCACAAAAAAATCGAATTTCCTCTCAAAACAGTTGCTATTGTGAATTTTTTTCCAAATTTCTTCAGTGTTTTCAGTGTACATTATACATACATTCATTCATTCACATTGTTGTAGCCAGTAATTTTTTGACCTTGGAATTTAGTCACAAATTATCTTATTTTTAAAGCTTTATAATCCTTTGAACAGTACACTATACGCTCACAAAATATGATAAGAAACCATTGCCACAAAACTAATGTGCTACTGGTGGGTAGAGAATTACATCCCAGTCCTACATCCAAAAAATTTCAGATGAAAAATAGCCGTTGGCAGATTATGACATACAAAGTAAATATAGCAACACTCACTCATTATTATCACCATAACTATGACACAATGCAACCTAAACCTTTTAAACCTGGTTAAACATTTACCCATTCGAACAACTTTTTCAGAAAGCAAAATAAAATTTAGAGAAATATAGTGATCATTTTCAACTAAAGCCTAGCAAATGAAAATATCTGAAAAATCTTCACAACACAAGAGGAAGTTTTGAGATTTTCTTGTCAGTTTCTGTGTTCTAATATTTGGTAAATTTTTTTTTTCGTTAATTGCTTGTTGAAAGCAATGGCTTAGTTTTAATTTAGCACCGAAAAAATATTTTTTAAATAAAAATTTAATCTTTTTTTAAAATATTTTTTCCAATTAGTACAGTTAACAAAAAAATTTTAATAAAAACAACAAACAAAAACTTTTTTTGGCTGCAGAGGAGTGGATGGTGGTGAGAAGGGGTTAAGGGACTTCTCAATGAACTCCATAACAGTATTCTATCACTGGAGAAAATTTTAGAATTACCACAAGAAAATGAGGAATGCACAAATGAGATGAATGAAGAAGTTTAACTTTACTCAGTTTAAGAACTTTTGGGCCAGATAGTAAATATCATTCAGAAATATGAACCAAAACAGGTTTGTCATTTTCTGTCTAAACTCGGGGGGGGGGGGGGGGG